TATATATATATATATATATATATATATATATATATATATATATGTTCCTGTTTTTAGTCTAGCTGTTTTTGCTACTTTTTTGCCATCCTATTTTAATTTGTAAAAAATAAACATTAAAAATAAAAAACTGTATGCCTTTGTATAACTGTCTATTGTTGTTGCTGTTGTCCATTGTTGTCATCATTCTTTGTTGAAATCAGGTCTCTCTTGTAAATGAGTCCACGAGGCTCAATGGGGTTAACATGTCTAAATAAAGGTTGAATGAATATATGTATGTATGTATAAAGGCATTTTAAACCATTCCCACACTCTTGCAATATTCTAAACAATGTAAATGTTTCTAAACTTTAAATTCTCTAAACGAGCACAGCATGTCATGATCTCAGCTCTCGACCACTCACATATCTCCACTGCAGAACGTAGATCACAGAAGAGGGATGAGGAGCTGCAGCAGGAAGTTTCTCCTGTAGTGTGGGCTGCACACATATGCAGCAGGTGCTAAATAATTGAAAATAATTCATTTTAAATAAAAATTCCATGTCGATCATGAGGCTCATTCATCAGTCAGCCAGTTGTGTGTCATGTTCAATCTTATTTTGAAAACTCGCAATAGAGCAAGTCCACGAAAAATGAACCGTGAAGTAGAGGTGAACACAGGCATCCATTTAGAATTGGGTTGACTCCAAAAGTTATTCCAAAAACATACAGCCAACAATTATTATTATTTTGTTAATTTAATTACAATTTGTCCAATTGGTCATGAGCTATTTGGCTAACAGATAAATAGGGTACATTAGTTAATGGTGAAGGTTTTAAGCTTGGAGTGTGTGCTGGGGATAATCTTCATCTACTATCACAACAAAATCACTTTTTAAAATGGGTTAGGTCCAAATGGTAAATTGTTCTAGATCTTAATTTAATGATTACTTTTTGAAAGTTCATTAAAGTCTAGTGATTCACAAAATATTTTGCTAACAGAAGTAGTTGATTCCAATACTTATTGGAAACTGTTTTAAACCCTGACAACATTCAATCTCTTAGAGTATAAATTGGGATCAGCCTCAACTACTGATCACCGAATTTTAACTCTGTGTAAAATTGACTGAACCTTTTTGTGTGTGTTTGCTAAAATATCTTTGCTATGGGGGCTTTTTTTGAATCAGGTTGACTCCAAAAAATACCAAGTTGTGCAAGTCAACCAATGATTGTTTACTGAAATCTTATTAAAATTTATGTGGTTCATGAGATGTTTTGCTAACGATACACACAAATACACAAACACGAGCAAACCATAAGTGCTCTGCCATTGCCTTCAGCAGTGGGGGATAAAAATGAAACAGAAGTTGTCCTCAGTAAGACAGAAACCTCTAAGTTCAGACAAATTAATGCTGCAGTGGGCTAAACAGAACCACAGCAGGAGCCATGCCGTGCCATAGGGGCCCCGAGGCTGAGGTGTTGAGGAATAAGTCAGGATTTCATCAGCTCACCAGTCAAATTAATTTAAATTAGCACTGTTATTTTTCTATTTAAACAGAAATGGGAAATGTGTCAAACTGGCTGCCAATTTTTGACAATTTAATGTTTCCTCTCTTAGAAATGCTTGAATCACAGGTAGGGATTTTTATGAACTCTAGTGCATTTCACTAAAATGAAAGTTTGTAACCACAGAAAGTCAAGATGCTGCCACTGCTGAGATGATGTCACTGTTTGATGCGACCGTTAAAGAATCATTGTTCAGGCTGAAACTCCTGCAGTCTCTCTGTCACATGTATACTATTTTTAGTATTTGGCCAGTTGACTTTAAAGATGTTAGCTTGAAAGATGATTGTATTTATTCACTTGTTCATATTACTCTTTGCTGTTTGATCCTAAAAGTAGTTTAATCACAACAGACAGAGATATCCACTTACACAGCTTTGTTTCTTGTACAACCCCAATTTCAACAAAGTTGGAGCTAGGCCTGTCACAATAACAAATTTTGCTGGGCGATTAATTTTCTCAAAAATTATTGCGATAAACGATAATATTGTTTGAAATTTGACAATAATTAGTAATTATTGACAAATTTAAGAAGAAATGTTGATTTGTTTTGCATGTAGTACCTTTTTTGACCACCGGATGACAGTATAAGACTGTCTGAACCAAAGGATGGATAGTGAGGGAGCGAGCAGTGTGTCTCTTTAAGAAAAGTGGGAGGGAGCCCCTTTGAAGTGTCATGAGCTGTCTCCTTCCTTTTTTTCAGTTCTCAAAATGGAGGACGCTCGGTGTGGTTTGAGCTCTTTAGCATAGTATTTTTCACACAAAGCTTTTAATAAAATATCAGTAAACAAGTTCTCAGATTCTTTTTGCAAAGAAAAACAACTTTTTAGATGAAGGCACGGGTTTCAACCTTGAATTTTGGAGCTTCGACAAGACGGAGGATTTTTCCCCAAGGTCGGCCTGTTAGTTTAGCTCGAAGCTTAGCTCGTAGCTTAGCTGCTTTTAACAATCCAAAAACACAATTTTCGATCGTTAAAACAGATTTTAAAGAGCAAAGAGAAAGGGAGTGGTCAGTGAAGAACACCGGAGTTGAGCCTTTTGTCATCCTGTGTCTGCAGTAGAAAGAGAGAGACACTACGATAACAGTAGATATTCATTATTGTAGACTGCTGAGTCTATGAATAGAGTAGGCAAGTATAAGCCTCGACTTCAACATATTCCTTTTTTGGTAAATTATTGATTTACCATTTTATATTGTTTTCCTTTCTTGTAATGCTTTTAATTTACCAAAATAAGTTGAATATTTGAGTGTAATAGTTGAGTTGAGTTGAATATCACATCATCTACATCAGGGCACATAATCACAAGGGGGAAAATAAAAAAACTAACAACATAATAAAAAACACACAGATCCTGACAATTAGGTCTAACTTTTTTTAATATGGGCTGGAATTTCCGATGACTTCTTCTAGACCAATAAGAGTTAAAGTTTTCAAACCACTTGCATTCTTGCAAACAAAACAAGAATGATAAAGTCCCAAATTTCAATTTTGAAGCTTCTGAGATGGTGAATTTGAAAATAATATCCATTCAATATTGAAAAATTCTTCATTTGTGCTCATTTTGCCAGCACAGGTCAGAAATGGTGGAAGAGTTATCTTCTAAGGTTCAAAGTTCACTTAGAATGAATTGAGGAAACAGAGAACAAATCTAAGTTGTATTTTGTTTGATTATTAATATTTCCTGATGCATGCTCAATAATCCAGATAGAAAAATCTAAAAAAGTTAAATCTGGTCCTCTGGACATTCAAAAAAAACAAAAAAACAAAGCAAAACAACAAAAAAATGTAGAAACGTTTCGTCTCTCATCCGAGAGACTTCCTCAGTCTGAGGTGCTGTATTCAGCTCAGTCTCTTAAATAGCACCTTCTCAGAGTGGATCAACCAGTTTTGCTGCTGACAACCAAAACCAGCTGATCACATGCTCAAGAAGGACCATCAGCCTAACAATGGATCATTAGCACACTGATGGCTGTTTACTATTCACAGAGGGCTGAGTGATACTAGCAATCACAGCATTGTAAGAGGGGGACAATTGAACACGTAGGCCTCCACCCCTGTTTAATGATGGACGGTTTCTTTTCACAAAGACGGCCTCCTTTACTCCTCTCTCAAACCATCATTCCTCTCTGTCCAGGATGTGAACATCTTCATCCCTGAAAGAGTGACCGCTGGCCTGGAGATGAGTGTAGACCGCAGAGTCCTGGCCTGATGATGTTGATCTTCTGTGCTGGGCCATCCTTTTGGCCAGTGGCTGTTTTGTTTCCCCGATGTAAGACTGATCACAGAGAGACGAAACGTTTCTACATTTTTTTGTTGTTTTGGTTTTTTTTAATGTCCAGAGGACCAGATTTAACTTTTTTAGATTATTAATATTATTTGTTTATTTTTGGTAACCAGAAATGCCACATTTACCTTATAAAAAAAAGAGTAAAAGTAGTCAGCCTGTTAGCGCACAATTTATAAGTCTGCCTCTCTGATAGTATGGAGGTGCATCAGTGCCTCTGGCATGAGCAGCTTTTGCATCTGGAAAAGCACCGTCAGTGCAAAAAATACAGGTTCTAGAACAATTGGTTCCACCCTCAAGTTGGCATCTTCTTCAGGGAAGGCTTTCAGCAAGATAATGCTTAAACTCATCATGTATCAACGTCATGGCTGACTTCATGGTAGTCTGGGTGTTAAACTGATCTGCCTGCAGCTTCAGACCTCTCACCAACTGAGAACATTTGATGCATAATGGAACAAAAACGCCAGCAAAGAAAACTCAGGACTGCTGTGTGCTAGTGTTCTAAATAAGACGTGAATAAAACAACATTCCCCCTGTTTAACTTCTTCTTCCATTATTATTATTTAATATTATTATTTATTATTAATTATTATTATTATTGTGCATTT